AACGAATAAATTGATGTATAACATAGATTTCAACACTGCTGTTAAACATCAAGCATCTTGTATATTCTAAGTCGCATTATGACCTAATTAACTTAAATGGTTGGCATGCACCGGTATTATACACCATGCGTTTACTTTTGTTTTTGTATTGACTACGGAATGCTTCGTCTATTTGTTCAAAACATAGAGATCATGGCCAATTAAAGTGGGTTGCTTACTTTCCCTATGATTTGATCCAATCTCTTGATTTTAGGGGGGATTTGTCTTCATAGATTTGTATTGATTGCTGATTTTTGAAGATTGATCGCTGTTCATTTTCCTCATCTTTTTCATTACGCGGCCATAGATTCCTATGGATATGACTTCCGAATATACTAGGTTAGTAATTTGATTCCTGCGTCACATGCTAAGGAGATAATATTTTACATCGCACAGAAACAATAATACGTGAACAAAAATGTGTTACCTTTAATTGTTTTAAAAAGATTGTAATATTATCAACGACAGTACATTTAAAAGCTCCTAATACGTTCCAGAAAGGTAATACCTCAATCAACACATTCTTTAAAATACAGCACTATCTACTAGCATAATTATTACATGCATATATGACCGAAAATCCAAGCATTGAACAATATTCTACTTTGTGTAATGTAGATGAGGCGTGCTATGTTACAACGCAAAATGTGATTACAATGCCAAATGTAATAAATGAGGGTTATTACATTTTGCGTTTTTACATTTTGCGTCAAGCTGAACGCAAAATGATGACTATATAAATATAGTCAGTCACATAGAATTATTCCTTTTTAATACAATAAAACATATGGAGATAACAAACAATATTCAAGTTCAAAAGTCCATAAAACAATACAAAACAGGAACAGAGCAAACACGGACATCCAAAACATCAGCATTGAACAATATTCTACTTTGTGTAATGTAGATGAGGCGTGCTATGTTACAACGCAAAATGTGATTACAATGCCAAATGTAATAAATGAGGGTTATTACATTTTGCGTTTTTACATTTTGCGTCAAGCTGAACGCAAAATGATGACTATATAAATATAGTCAGTCACATAGAATTATTCCTTTTTAATACAATAAAACATATGGAGATAACAAACAATATTCAAGTTCAAAAGTCCATAAAACAATACAAAACAGGAACAGAGCAAACACGGACATCCAAAACATCAGAGGTGGGATCAGGTGCCATGGAGGAGTGAGCATCCCCTGCCGACCGGTCACACCCGCCGTGTGCTCCTCGTCATGTTCGGGAAATAACGGAAAAATCCGTCGCCAATTTAGTGTATAAATAATGGACTAACAATTAATATGAAAAACGTCAGTCAGCATTTGACTCAATGATGAATTGTATTAATTGCTGACAAGGTCATTGTATCAACCATAGAACTTACGAAATGATGACTTTAAACGAGGCTGCTGATATTCTTGTTTCCTCAGCTTGTTTGTCAATAATTCACCTCGTTTTAGAAATTGTCCATACGTAGAGCATGCTCTTGCGTATCGAATCAATTGAAATACATAAACATGCAGGTGATGAAGGTATATTGCTGCATAAGTTAGTGAATTTGACAATAGAAAAGTTAAAGTCACTACGTGTACCGTATAGTCTGGTTGTTAGATTACCATTAACGTCTTTTTCAAGTAGAATATGAATTTCTACACGATTCTGGTTACAAATAATTAAAATATAGATATAGATGAGCTGAAAATATGATATGTGACTAGATGACAAAACATTACAATTCTATCCAAGAACCTGGTATGTAAAAAAAAAGTGTATTATATGGCCTTTTTATCTTACTTTGAACTGGTTTTAGAACTGGAGTACAGTATGCTTTGTATCCTATGATCTGATGAATATATCTTTTCAGAGGTAAATTGAACTAATATAGGTTATCATTTTTATCATTTTGATTTTTGCAACACAACTGATTTTTTTTATTCTTCTACAAACTAGATACAAAAGAAAATGAGTAATATTAACTCTGAAAATAGAAAATGCATTCAACTATCAAATATTTAAGATATTTCAAATATATACACTTATCTGAAAAGTATACCCTCTTTAGAATTGAAGATGCATCATATAGGTTCTAGTCATTTTTAGCTCACGATTTCTCTGTGACATCTGATAGGACAGGATTGTCAAATCTACATTCTTTTAACACGGCTAACATTTTAGTCTCGGATGTTTCCTACAGCAGAGCGTTGAAGATTTTAAGTTAAAAAGAGAGCTTTTGAATGTGTGTTCTTTAATGTGGATTAATTTTTAGAGCTATGTCCAGACATTTCACGTACGGGAATGTAAGAACTATATTTACCTCAAATCATCTAAGATTTTTAGACACAAAATGCAAAAGTGTGTTTCATGCGATCTTTTTTTCTTTTTCTAAGCTTGCCTTAGATTTGAATTAAATATGTAATTAGATCAGTCGCCAATCACTGTGCCCTTTTGAATTCTGTATAAAATTTATAAAGTAAAATATATCATTGATCTATGTTAATTATTTACCTTAATCAAAATCTTATTTGTAAATTTTATTTTTAAATGTCTTTAAAATTTTGGCTAGGTCAGTTTCGTTTCATATATTCTTATAAGTTTAATACCAGTAAGAAAAGAATTTTTTGAATTGTTACTTTGTGTTTCACATGTTTCAGGGAAATCAAATCTCTTAGGATTTAAGTTCTCATTTTATTTCAATTAATTAGTGGAAATAACTTGGTAAATGAAGAGGAGAGTATTTGCTGCCATGTTTTTAAAACAAAATTGCAAAGAATTCCATTGGAAAGCGAATAAAGAAATCCCGCTTTTTCAAAGATGATGGGGATTTAAAAAGTAAGTAATAAATGCGTGCTCTGTTCCCCTGAAAAAATGCTGTAGTTACATTGTATACATTATAATAATTGCAGAAAAAAAATTATAAATATATTATATAATATATCTTAATTGAAAAAAGACACCCAAATATAAACATATGGTAAATCTATTAATAATCGAATATCCTGCATACATATAGTAATAGTTTACTACATGTAGTACATGCATACTACATGTAGTAATATTTTCCAATACACAAAACTAGAATCAGTTAAAAATAAATTTCATAAATCGAGTCAATTTATGTTGTGATATCTTAATCTGAAATGATGAATAGATAATGTTAAAAAATGAATATTCTGTGACTTATTAATACCGGGATTCCCGTTACAGTTGTTTTATACACATTCTCTGCAAAAAAGATTTGTGTACAATATAATTATATCAAATTACAGATACGTTGTAAGATAGATTGGAATTTTCAACCAAAAAAGGTCCATAAGATTAAAAAATGTGTCTTTAAAAAATCAAATATTTTAACATGTTTAAGTCCGCAAAGAATAATCAAATATAATTATAATAGTTACTGTATTTATCGTGCTTATTGATACTTTAATGATTTGACAACGATTCTTCATTGCAAATGATAGAAGAACATGTATTGTGTTAATTTTGAAAAATGAAAAAAAAATGGGTATTTGACCTTTTGGTGATTCAACTGAAACTGTTTCAATAGAAGTCACAAATGTATAATGAAGTTCAAAAGTTTGACATGTAATAAACTAATTATTTATTGTTAAAGTAAACACATACTTAAACCTCACTTTCATTTTTTTTATCTTTTATATCAGTGATGATATATATCCTCTACGCCGTCATCTACAAGTAAAAATAACAAAATATGTTGATCTACTGACTCTAAACAAAAGCGCAAATTACTTCGGCTAAATACTTAAAGATGTAAAAATGTTTTTGTCGAACTACTTTTCAGTGAAGTATGCAAATTAGTTTATAGAACAATATTAATTGAATAATAACAAATCTTATTTCTCTCTTTATGAGTCGCCCGCATGGCGCAGTTGTAAGAGTGTCTGCTCTAAAGTCGCGAAGTAAGGAGTTGCTCCTTACTTCGCGAGTTCGAATCTCACTGTGGGTCGTGGAGACCGGCCCTTCGGATGAGACCGTATTTACCGATGTGCGGTATCGCAGTAGGTGCTGGCACGAAAAATATCCCTCCCTACTCAATGGCCCTGAGTGCTGAGTAAAGCACAAAATTTGCAGCTCTCCATCGGCTAGTGGTGGCGTCTCCACATGAGTGAAAACTTCTTGAGGGGGACGTTCAATATAGTTCAATATGTATCATTTATATGTTTTGAATTGACCCCTTTTGTGTATTACGTCATCAATTATGTGCAGAAAAACAGAATTGAAAGCATGGAACCGACGCCATTCTTATGTTGTTTCCACAGGCTAATAAAAGCCTTATAGGACCACCTTAACCTTAACACACATTATAGTTCAATATATAGGACTATATTGAACTATTGGCAAGTGGTGGCCTCTCCATATAAGTGAAAACTTCTTGAGAGGGATGAATCAATTATCTCTCTTCATGAATGCAAAACTTTTTAAAAAGAACTTTTTATAATAGAGAATACTAATAAAACTAAACCCTTAAACAACATACCTCTCATTGTACATAAATGGACATGCAAATATACTGAAAAGACTGTGTAAATTAATTTTCTCCGAGATCGATGCCGAATGCTGCCTTAAGTTATAGATGACCATTTTGTCAGGGATGTTCTGCTTTGCAATGCCCTTGTTTCAAGAGCTGTTAGTGGTTTATTTATTATTTACTAAAAAGTTTGGAAAATTGACCAAATGGATTGTTTAAAAAATGAAATACTACGAATTTTGTTTGATCATTGCATTTGAAAATCTAAACCCCCTCTGTTACCAAGCTCAAAAAACAACGCTAGGATACAAAAGATTCATGTAGGATATTTCAATACCGAATATACATACTATGTAACGAAATTAAATACAGAAAGTGGGTATTAAAACAAAAATACGTTGTGTCAGATTTCAATGGTTTCATTTCTCCTTCTCAGTGACGGAATTCAATAGTAGGAGAGTTACCGGCTGTTCATAATTTTCAAGTATAAATTGTCCGAGTTCTTATTTATTTTCATTGGTTTGAAAGTTCTTGCAAGAATTCAACTCTAATATCGTAAGTTAAACTTTTGTTTATGTTAATCACATGTTAATCTTATTCAAAGACAATTTTATCTTGAATTTTTCTTTCTCCCTGTCTTTGTTTTAATTAATGTGGTTATGTTAGCGTGTCACATTTCATTCTCTATTAAATGCAGTTATTTCTTTGCCTTATGTTATGTTTCTTCATTTCTTAATATAAAAAAAAAATGGTTTCCTTTTTTTACAAAACGTTAACAGTCTTTTATCAACTGTGTCCGTTTTTATGGAAATGATTTTTAGACTTTTTTAGATATTCATGGCGATATGTTTTCAGATGAAGTTCATAACATGTGTCGTTATCCTTGCTATGTTACTTTGCTTGATGAAAGAGGCAGACGCAAAGAAGAAGAAGTGGTGCGTTTGCTATAAAGGATGGTGTTACTGTCGCAACAAGCGTTCCCTTGACATGGTGGAGGTAAATATTTTCAGACGCGTGTTCAATTCACAAGAAAATGTGATAAATTATACTTTTTTAGATTGATGAATTCTGATTTTTTGTTCGGAATTCCATTGTTTTCCATTTTTTTCCAAGGAAGAGTCTTAAATTTTGTTTCAGAGATATTTTGATAATATTTTGGAATGAAATTCTATAATTTCATGTAAATAATTATATATTTTTTAAATTTATTACGATAATATAATTGAATATTAATCATTTCTATTTCTAGGGGGAGGAGGTTCTATCAAAAATTATTTACAATTTCACTATTTAAGAAATTTTTTGAATATCTCAAAACTACCGTATGTATTCATAATTTTTTTCGTATTTCTGACCCAGTTTAATTGCTCCATTCGGTTAACTATAAAAATTGTTGCAAAGTTTATTTTTTATTTGTATAATACCTTTTCTTTTGCAACGAAAGGTACAGGAGGATTATTTTTATTCTTAGTTACAATGTTCAGATAACTGGTATTTCGATCTCCTATCATATTTTCATGTCCATGGACGTATTTAATACTGTACGCTTGAAATGGGTTATCAGACTAAACCTTACAAGAAATGTTTTATTGTTATTTATATCTTAATTCATATATGAAAGGAGTAATGACACACACGTGAATGCATGAATTAACATCATGTTGTAAATTTTGAATTTACTAAGAGGAGGTAAATACAAAATTTACAACATTATAACCTCCCCTTAGTAAATTCAAAATTCACAACATGATGTAAAGAAACTTCGAAAAGCCACGTGCAGTCAAATTGGAAATGGTCATGTTAAACACAGTGTAATTTATTGAATCTCCATTCAAATTTAATTTTGCTTACTAATCTATAGAAGCTTTTATTTGTTATAGGAAGATGGACATGACCTTGTGGAAAAAATGAGAGTAAGTCTTTTTCATGTATTTCTATAATTTTTAATTGAAAAGTAATAGTTCAAAATATTTTAACACATGCTGTGCAATAATTTTAATTCATGGGGGGGTCTGAATGTTCATGGGTCTGCAATTTTTTTTTAGATCGCGGGGACGTAATTTCGTGGGTAACTCATATATATATATATATATATATATATATATATATATATATATATATATATATATATATATATATATATATATATATATATATATATATATATATATATAAAGATTCAATAAATAAATACGTTTATAAAGGAAATGTTAGAGGGAAAGTAAATTTGTGGATAAGGGTGAACCACGAAATCCACGAACATTGGTCTCCCACGAACATTGATGATTTTACAGTAAACAATTTAACGCGTGATTGCATTTGTCACAGGAGACGGAGTTCGCGAAGAGAATATTGAGAGCTGGGATGAAGTAATTTAAAATCAGAAGTGTGAGTGAATTTTACTGTGAATTCTTAGCAAAGATCATCAGAATTAATCATTTTTTGTAATACAAGTCTGATTTTTTTTTTTAGGAAGAAAGACATTTAATCGAATCAAAAGAAGAAGTGGAAAAAATGTCTTGAAAAATTAATAAATCTTTACTGATTGCATTTTATCAATGGGTTACTGTTCGTTATCTCCATATATTAAATCAACATTTTCGAAAGAATGTTTCGGTATAATAATTTTGCCTGCTCTATCCGTCTGTCCGTACATGTCTGTCAAACTTTCTTCTTCCGCAAACTCTTCTTTTATACATGTAGTTTAACCAATTATTATCTTAAAAAATATAATACGCATTGTCTTATAGATAAGCAAAAAGGTTTTGGTATATTATAAAGTTAAATGCTGAGTCACATTTTTCATACTCATTGTAAGGTTATTGTTTTATTTTACAAACTGAATTTTCTACGGAGTATTCCGTTATTTTCGGATTACACAACTTTGACAGGTGGGCAGGGGATGCTTATCCCTTCATGACACCTAATCCCACGTCTGATGTTTAAGAGAACCGTGTTTGCTTCTTTCCTGATTTGTATAGTTTGAAGGGACCACTGAGCTTGATCATTGTTCTTTTTTCCCATAAATATGTACTTCAAACGATTTAATATGCATTTGAAAAAATATATAAAAATTAACCTATGTAACTGAATATGTACCGAGAAGAGGAGATGGCATTTTACTTAAAAATTGTATAATGCATATGTATATGAACGTCGTGTTCTCTTGAAGTGAAAATCTTAAATTACAACTTTAAGTTGTAAGAACTTGTAACCAATCCCTTTTTTATAAATTATACAATAAAATATGTTAAAAACAAGTGAAAATCTTACAAAAATTTCATTAAGCTTCCCGAGAGAAGCGTTTCGATTAATAAACGAAAACACAAAATACAAATAAACACAAGGGGAGGTCTTTATTTTCAGATACATAGAGATTGAAATCGTTATTCTCTTTCATACCTGGGATTTGAATAGTTATTCGATATCATCAACACTTTCGCCTACGCGCTTAAATATGTTCAAAATTGAGAAATATCATTGACCAGCACAGTCATAATAAACTGTGTGAGATCACAATAATATGTCAACGTGTTGCCTGTGTTTAATTTCATAGCTATCGGTTACATACTGAAATCAAAACAAACGGGAGTATACATGTACTGCAGTAGATGTGATTTTGCTGGCCTCCCCTTCCTGATACATGTAGTTGCGTATTATTATAACTGAAAAAAAATCTTTAAGGAAAATAAACATTTCAAACATCAAACAATGACAATGCATGAATTATAGAATATAGATGAGTGGACTTTCCCCAGTTGAAGAATAATTATGGATTGGATGATAAAGCATTACAATTTCATCCAAGTACCTGGTATGTAAGAAGTATATTGTGTCACCATTGTGTGTTCTTTTTCTCTGTGAACTGCCAATACAGAACTGGAATACAGTATGCATTGTGTCCTATGATCTGCATGATGAATATTTCATTTCATAAGTAATTTGCAAATACAAAAGGTTTTCATTTTTTTTTAATTCTTCAACAAACTAGTTTACAAAAAAAGAGTAATAACTGTATTACTAAAACTGAAAATAGAAAACGCATTCAACAATCAAATATTTCAGAGATACAACATGTATACATATGCAAAGTATATCCTCTTTAGAATTATTATATAGATGCATCATAAAATTTCTAGTCATTTTTTATGGCTAACCTGAGCTGAAATCTCAAGACAGCTTTTCTGATCACCCGTCGTCTGTCTGTCCATCTGTCTATAAAACTCTTCACATTTTCAACTCCTTCTCAATAACCACTGGACCAAAGCTGAAACTGTGGTGGAAGCATCGTGGGGGGAAAGGGGGGGGGGATTAGTTACTAGTGTATATTCTAAATTGTTCAAGCCATGACCCCCAGGGATGGCACGTGGCAAAAATAATACGTAAAACATAAAAAATCTCAGTTTTATTGGTTGTATAGATACATTTTATTTAAAATTAATGAAATGCAAATAATAAAATGAATCAGATTCATCAATACGAATAAATAATTGTCTGGACTGTTATTTGAGTATATCCGCAGTGTCAAAGGGACATTGACCCATTTATTTGGCTGTACATATATATATTTACACTCTCTACCTCTCTATCGCTTTCATGTTTTCAAGTTAACTGTGGTGTGGAAAGGTTGATAAACAAACTATAAAATACCGGTATATCATTTTTTTTAAGTAGTAATATCAGTTTTCTGCATTTGAACCAATGCTATATTAATATATCATTCGTAAAAACAAATATAGTTTATAGAGTTACTCAGAGTGTTAGCTCGATCAATTTTAAAAAAAAAATAAAATTTAATAAATTTAATAAAACATATTTTTTTGCGTTTAAACGCGATTAAAGGCGGTAATTATTGCAATTAAACGCAAAAAGTATTGCTTTTAGTCGCTAAATTATTGCATGCGTTGAAACTCAATAATTATTGCGATAAATCGCAATATTATTGCGTAAAGAAATGAAACAAAAAATGCATTTTATGACGTTTCAAACTTAGAAAATGATTGACAAACAACACTGCAAAAACATTTTTGAAAAAAAATGCATTTTTCAATTAAATTAATAGTGGAAAAGTAAAATTATGGCCAGTAACGGTACAAGATTGAAGAGGGAAAAAAATATATTCACACAACTTTAAAACCGGTTTAATCTTTTTTTTTTTAACAATGAAGATATACCATGTTCCTTTCTTTCTTTTAATTTCCACGCAAAATAACTAAGTACATGTACCATTTTAAATTCTGCCGACCTAGTCATAGTCCGACTTTGTTATGGCCCGACTCTGTTATGGTCCGACATGTCTGGTACCGGTCCCGCCGGAAGTAGAAAAGAAATCTTTCACTATGTCTGAATTTGATGGACAAAACTTACCAAGTACTTCCAAAAAACCAAAGTTAGGTACTGTTTTTGAAAAATTTAGGGCACAATTTCAAGAGTTGGATCAGTTAAAAAGAGCGTACAACTCGTTGTGTTTTGACAGACGAAATCCACTAATTGCTCAGGAAATAACGTCGTGCAATGCAGCAGCAGGTTATGGAATAAACTTTTCTCGAGCATCGTGCGAAACACGTCCACATGCGGATGAGATATATCCATTTGGCATCATATTCACGGATGCAATTATGTTGCTGAATAACTTTTTTACCAAACCTGATTATGTTCCCAACAACAAGGCCTCCAGATTACTACTGGAAAAATTGATTCAATTTTTGATGGATGAAGGTGAGTATGTAATGTCTACGTGCATATACCATTAAACCTTGCATTTATAGTGTTATGTTAAATTTAACTAAATGTCTCAATGCATTTTTAGCAGATTCCTAGCTTAAAACAAAGATTGTACTTTTTCTAAAGGGAGGGTAATGAACGCATGACTTAAGTTGACGATGCAACAGTTAGGGCGAGCGCAGATACTAATGCAGTTTTAATGAAGATCAGGCTCGTCAAACTCCACATGCCATTTGCTTTGTTAAGACTGACGTCACATTATGTCGTATGTTGTATTGAAAAATCAAAGTCCGAACACTGCGAATGTTAATCAAAAATGCTTGCTACTGCAAGAATGCAGTATTTGGCAAGATGCATTTAGCTAGGGAAAATGGGACAGTTTGAGACCACAGGTAACTGCAGAAAAGATTTCATTTTTATCTAATAGTATATGCAACCTCCAAATTTTCTCTTTGCCCAGGCATTGTTTTAACTTTTAAGAGCTCGAAATGACAAGCAGTGCTTTTGTTGAATTTAATTCAACTATACATTATGATATTGTTTTTATATTCAACATCTTTGATTCGACCAGCACAGGAATTTGTGTGCTTATCAGTTTTACCAAAATTTTTTAAATGTTTAGGAAAAAAAAAATATCATAATGTCATACCTTAAAAGATAACACAAGGTACATGTATGACATATTTTTGATTAACAAAAAATTTCGGTAAAATAAATAGGTACGCAGACTTCTGTGAATTCAGTTTATTAAGCATATGAAAATTTTTCTCATTAATTAAAATTGTAAAATTTAATTTTTTTAAAGATTCACATGCCGCACTGAAAAGAATGCAGAGAACAGATCTATCAAAGACTGGGGTAATGACTGTCTTGGCTGAACATTTTTTTCGCCAGCTTTCACTTTCTGACTCATATACAATGGATAATTCTGCGAAATACAAAGGCCTTTCTCTCTGCAAATGTGGATCATGCAAGCCAGAATATTTGTCATCTTGTTTTGGCGACACAAGTGTAGGTGAGTACTTTGGCTGTTCATTGGAAAACAATTGATATGGTGAACAATCCTGTGTAAATGTAGTAACAATTTTAAATGTGTTTCTTGAAATATGAAAGAATTTTAAGTCCCCTGCTGACAAATGCTTAAGGAGATTGTAGTTTAAAACTCTATCCATAAATCAGTTAGAACAGAACAATATTATCACAGATAAATCAATTTATGCCGCTATGGGAAAATCTGGTAAATTTTACACTGGTCGATAGTTACAGATTTTTTAGCCAGTCAAAACTATTGTTTTTATTGCCCCATTTCTTTAGTAGCCTGTATAACTGCATATCTGTGTTTAATTTTTTTTTCATTGCACTGACTATTAGGCTATTCTTCTCATATGAGGCATAAAATTTATTTAGCTTTCCTCGACCAAGTCAAGAAGAGCCTATGCTATACTCCCAGCATCATCCTTTGTGTCCTAGTTAAAGTTTTTTATTTGTTTTGTTTATTTTGCTAATTTATGACTTAATAAAGATATAGCTTATTCAAATGAATTCTTTAACACTAGAATGCCTATATATTTTGTCAAAAAACATCAATATTTTGAGTTTGCTGCTGATTTGAGATGATTTTCGGTTAAGTAAATTGTAAATACATATACTTCTCTTGGAAGACTTGGTAGATTTGATATTTATGGTTAGATAAGATAATATTTATAAAAGCATGAAAATTGAAAAATATCTGGAAAAATTATTCCATATCAGGGACATTTTAGTTGTCAAATTGCACAACTTCAACCAATTTTGCTAACACTAAGATTAATTTCCCTTAAATCACTGGATATTAAATAACAATGTACAAACTCTATTTCTAAAATCTTGCATTTTTTGTGCAACGCTGTAAATTATTGTGCAAAATCAGGGGAAGGTAAATCAGTATATTGATATTTAATAACTTTAACAAATTATTAAAAAAAAAAAACACTTATTCTGATGATGCCCCTGACTGATGATACTAGGTTAACTTGTTTTAACTTTGTTGTAGGGAATCCAGATTGCTGGCATGGGTCTTTAAATATCCTCCTTGGAAGTATGGAGTCTTTTGTACATGTGGCTCCAGTGGAAGAAGAAATCGGCCCAGGTGGCAGAACATCCATAGAGGTGAAACACAAAAGTGTAGAAGAAAGAGGATTCCGTAGCCAGACTTTAGCTCAGGCCATTGTGTTTTCCTTCCTGCAAAAGCAGAGACATCCTAATTTAGACAATTTTCTTATTCCTTGTATGGCAGCAACTAGAAATGAACTCAAAATTTATTTTTATGACTGCAAACATGATATTTTGCTTGAAAGTAGAAGCATTAAGCTACTTGTGGAGATACCCGGCTCAAGATGTGAAGTGAATTATGAGGCAGTTCTTGCTGCTTGGCTTGTTCTGAATTATAAATTTTTGTGTAGTGGACCTCCGGAGTCATTACTTGAAGCTCCAAAAGCAAATTTTTTTAGCCTTGCTTCATCTAGCCTTGAAATTTATGAAAAAGATCTTGCATTTAAAAATGTTGTTGCCATGAATACTTTTGCAGACTATGACTTTATTGACATTACAAAGCCTAAATTTGTTTGGCCTTCAGATCTACCGTGTCAACCACTTGACTCAGAAAGTAATTAGATGAAGGACAGTGGTTAGAATTTCATTATCTATATAATGTCAAATAGAAGCAAATGAAATATTGATTTATCAAATGATCTGGATAATTAACATATGAAATGCACATGATGTAATGGACCTGTGTTTGTAAATGTCATCAAGCAGGTACATGTACTTCAAACATTCATTTGAAAGCCTGAATTATTAGCTTATATTTTTTTTATAAGGCCAACAATAAAAACTATTTGAGTGATGTACTCCGACTGACCTGTCAAAATTGCCCCTACCCAATCATTTTTTCTCTTTGAATTTTCAAATTTTATCCCTTTAACGGTTTGAATTCCATAGACATTTTAAAGTGAAGGTATACATGTACATTGTAATTTCTATAGATGCTTTTTGATTTATAAAATATTAAATATATCTAGCTATCCAGTGTGAAAAGCAAACATCAATAAATTTCTGAATCTTTAATTTAATGATAATTTGTTCAATATTGTAAAACAAAACAAAAAATCCACATAGAAAAATGTTGGTGTGAGTACATCAAATGAAAATATTTTTAATAATGGCAAACTTTTAGTTTTGTGTTTGTGCATATTTATGCTCATGTATGTTAGTCAACATGAAATTGGTTCTGAAACAAATTGCATTTGAACCATAATTCAAATCTTAGCTGCAAAGTCAATTGTCTATAGTGGCAAATATTAAAAAAATCGTAGTTCTGAAAAAAAATGAAAAATGAAGGTTTATAAACAAAAAAATGTTTAAAAAAGAATTCAGGTTTTGGCTGGAGGGCAGAAAATAATACATTTTTATTGTTGACTTCCTAGTGCAGAAAACCTTTAAAATTAAAAAGCTTAGTAAGCAAGTATTGACTGATATTTGCCACAAAGATTTCTTGAAATGCATTTTTAGCTCACCTGAGCCGAAGGCTCAAGTGAGCTTTTCTGATCAAAATTTGTCCGTCGTCTGTCGTTGTCATTAACTTTTCACATTTTCATCTTCTTCTCAAGAACCACTGGGCCAATTTCAACCAAACTTGCCACAAAGTATCCTTGGGGGAAGGGGATTCAAGTTTGTTCAAATGAAGGGCCAAGCCCTCTTCAAAGGGGAG